TCAATGACTACGAATGCGAAATTCGTTATTATCCGGGTAAAGCCAACGTAGTAGCAGACGTCCTAAGTCGGAAAGAATATTCTGGTCGAAGAGTCAAGTCATTAACTATGACTATCCATTCGCATCTGTCCACACAAATTAAAGAGGCTCAGCTCGAAGCCGTGAAACCTGAAAATGTGGCGGGTGAATCCCTGCGAGGGATGGATAAGAACTTGGAAATCAAGGGTGGCGGAGCTTTATATCTCATGGACCGGATCTGGACACCGAGACACGGTGGCTTCAGAGACTTGGTCATGACCGAAGCGCACAACACTCGTTATTTCGTCCACCCAGGTTCAGATAAGATGTATCTGGATCTTAAAAAGTTATACTGGTGGCCTAACATGAAAGCAGAGATTGCTACCTTCGTGAGTAAATTCCTTACTTGCGCCAAGGTCAAGGTCGAATACCAGAAACCCTCAGGTCTACTACAGCAACCAGAGATACCAGAGTGGAAGTGGGAGCGGATCATAATGGACTTCATAACCAAGTTACCCAAGACAACAGGTGGACTTGATACCATTTGGGTCATCGTCGACAGATTGACCAAGTCCGCACACTTCCTACCCATCAAAGAGACCGACAAGATGGAGAAGCTCACCAGAACATACATTCGGGAGATAGTAAGACTACATGGTGTCCCTATATCCATTACCTCCGATAGAGATAGTAGATTAACTTTGAGATTCTGGCAGTCGCTACAAAGCTCCTTAGGAACGAGGCTGGACATGAGTACAACCTACCATCCACAGACTGACGGACAAAGTGAGAGAACTATCCAAACCTTGGAAGATATGTTGCGAGCCTGTGTGATCGACTTTGGGAAGGCATGGGATACTCATTTACCCCTTGTCGAGTTTTCCTACAACAACAGTTATCACACGAGCATAAAGGCTGCTCCATTTGAAGCCCTCTATGGACGGAAGTGCAGATCCCCTTTGTGCTGGGCTGAGGTGGGCGACACTCAGTTAGCTAAAGGACGAGTTCCTGACAGCACTCTCACGGGTCCGGAGATCATTCGGGAAACGACAGAGAAGATCGTTCATATTCGTGAACGATTGAAAGCCTCTAGAGACCGACAGAAAAGCTGCGCAGACAAACGAAGGAAACCTTTGGAATTCCAGGTGGGAGACCGAGTCCTTTTGAAAGTCTCACCCTGGAAGGGCTTGATACGTTTCGGAAAGCGTGGAAAGCTAAATCCAAGACACATAGGGCCTTTCGAGATTCTCGCTAGAATCGGCCCTGTAGCTTACAAACTCAACCTACCCCATGAGCTTAGTAACGTACATCCTACTTTCCACGTCTCGAACTTGAAAAAGTGCCTATCCGATGAGACTCTTGTAATCCCACTCGACGAGATCGAGATCAACGAGAGCCTCAATTTCGTGGAAGAACCTGTAGAGATCATGGACCGAGAGGTCAAGCAAACGAAGCAAAGCCGTATTCCAATAGTGAAGGTTCACTGGAACGCCAAGCGAGGACCGGAATTCACTTGGGAGCGTGAGGACCAAATGAGATTGAAATATCCTCATCTTTTCGCTTAGTTATTTGTAATAACTTAGTTGCTTAAACTCTAATTTCGGGACGAAATTCCCTCTAACGGGGGGATGATGTGACAACCCGAAATTTCAATCTTGTACAAACCATTCTATCCAATCAAAGTTAGACTTGTTCCTACTAACTTCTAGCACTATTTTGAGTCTATTTGAGCATTCCGAGCCTAGTATATCCAAAGAATGAGTGATAGGAAGTGTTCATTGAAGTTATAAACTATCAAGCAAACCATAAACCCTCTGAAGAGGTGTGTACGGCCAGGACCCATGAGTTTACGGCCGTAAACCCATGGTGGCCATAAACACCATGCTATATATATGGTCCTTAGTATTTTTTTCCCTCATTTCCACCATTCCAAGCCCAAGAACTCGAAATTCCCTCTCTATGATCTTGAGACTTTTGCTTCCAAACTTCAAAAATGTAAGTGATTCCTTCCCTCTATGTGTTAATACATCTCTTCTTCTTGATTCACTCCCGAATTCATCTACAAATCTCATCTTTGAGTCTAGATCTTCAAGATCCTCAAGAACACCAAGAACACTTAAGTGTTTTGGGCCGAAAACACCCCCCATTTGCCTTCAAAACGTAAGTACACTACCCTTAGCTTGTTATATACTTGAATAAGTTGTTAAACACCTTGTTAACATCAAGAAATCTGGAACAAAAGGGTGTTTACGGCCAACGCAATCTCCCTTGGCCGTAAACCCTAGTTAGTGGTGCAATGTTGCCACAACTCCTTCCTAAGCCTTGGATATAAGTCTAGAACACCTCAAGGAAGAACATAGGACCTTAAACACACAAAACGGTACAAGATACCATGAGTTTACGGCCGTAAACTCATTGGGCCGTAAACCCATGGGCCGTAAACACTTTGGGCCGTAAACCCATGGGCCGTAAACACTTTGGGGCGTAAACTCCAATGTGAGGCCCTGCAACCCTTAGATACAACCCTTTGTATTCCTAGCACTTGAATAAAAGTGTTTTCCATGCCCTAGGGTGCCTCTACTTGCTTAATTAGTTGTTTAATCACTAATTAGATACATATATGTGTCATTATATGTTAAATAGGATCCGTGTGTGCTCAAGTCCTCACTTGACACTTAGCATCCTATCCGACACTTCCATCCAAACCACTCACTACAGGTGAGTTCATACCCCTTAATCAACCTTTGAAATGATTTTAAATGCTTTTATGGGGGGAGAATTCAAGTTGAAACATTCTAGTTATTATATTAATCACATGTGATTAATAACTAGAACAAACAAAAAGATTTTCTATTACTTTCAATTGTTATCAAACTTATGGATTTCAAGTACTTCAAAACATTTTATTAAACTCTTTTAAATGCTAAATCCTTTATCAAACTCTCTTTAAAAACTTATATTATTGTCAAACTCATGTCTATACAGATATATTTATATAAGTAAGATTTGAAGGACTTATGACTAATAGCTCACTTTATTTCCTGTTCCTTGTTTGGTTGTGGACTTAGAGTATCCTGTTATTTGTCCAAATGTCGTTGAAACCTTAGTTATATATCATATATATGTGTTTAGATATAAAAGCTTTTACTTCAGTTCAGTACCTTTGGGTAGCAAAGGCATACAATCAACATTACTAGTAAGCTATAATAAGTATAGTTTAAGAGATTACTACTCACTATTACTAGTACAACGAAGCATACAAGAGTCAGTACATTTACAAGTCATTACAAACATACTATAACGAAATACCATACACACTAGTCACTATACAAGATAATATACTATACACTAGTACAGAGAGAACATTACTACACTATGACTCACTATACAAACATTAGAATACGATAACTAGAATGTGACACACTATTTTCGGATACAACAAGACCGTGTTGTATCATTTTGTAACCAGAGTCTTCTGGAGGGAGAGCAGGCATTGTGTGTATAGATCTATACGGGACAGACACTCCCACACCCCGACTGCTAGCTACAGTCCCAACCGATAAGGCCAAGGGTGACAAAATGTCACCTCACTACATATGACACCGGAGGGTCATCATTTATTCAGTCGTTGATCAGCATTGTTACATACGAGTTCACATTTAAACCTTTAATTAACCGACTAGGGATTAAAGGCAAAAAGACTCCCCGATGTGTATTGTACATTTAATACTACCTGGAGTCTGTATTTTATTACTTTATAGCTAGCAGTGTTACTGCTGAGGTAAAACATTATTTTCCCTATTACATTTACTTTGTGATCATCTCACATATTCATAAATGTTTAAACTATATTTAGTTAATGATAGTCATACTTGGGAAAATACACACTTTTACATGAAACAAACATACAGAACATTTGTGCCTTGGTAGAAGGCCACTTTTTAGTAGAAAATATAGGATTTTCTAGGGGATACAATTACTCACTACAAACATTTACATTGAAAACTTACAAACATTTTCTTCAAACTTACAAGCGTTTTCATACAAAAAATGACACTAAATACTTATGAACTCACCAGCTTTAATGTTGATAAACTCTTTCAAAATAACTTGTATTCTCAGGTCATCAGTAGACAGGTACCGATGAAGCTTTTGAGAAGATGGAGCACATTCAAGATTCATCTCTTATTTTGACTCATATTTTTGGTGTCTTATAAACTATACAGAACACGCTTGTATTAAAATTATTCTATTAATGCAATGGATGTTGTTGCTTGTTTACTATTATGCATTGTTATGATACTGTACATGACCTCCTCCACCCCAGAACGTTTCCGCCGTTCCGGTTTTGGGGTGTGACATATAAGACAGAATCTACCATGGTATTACGAAGAATGCTACAAGTGTGGAAAAAAAGTAAACTCAATTCCCAAACTCAATCATTCCTATACCGACCCTGACAAAATTTCAGAAAGTGTTGTTTTTCAGTGTAAAGATCGACGTTGCAACGATTCGGATTTTCATACAGTTATAAAGTAAACATATTTTTATTTATATTAATCGTTTCAATCTTTCAACAAAATTAATATTGATCTAATTGATTTTTTAGGTATATAATTCCAATCAACGTACAAGATGGTACTAGCACCATCGGATTGACTCTTTTTGATAGGGAAGCGAAGAGGCTGTTAGATATAAGTGCATATGAGTTGAAAAAGATACATGAAGCAGTATATTATATTATTCATATTTTAAAATCAGAAAACATTTAATTTATTTTAATTTATTAAAAATCTTCTTACACGCCGGAGACATTGATGGACTATTTCCAATGCAACTTAACGTGTTGAAAAAACCGCAAGTTTGGTTTTCTTGTAGATATTACATCCTACAATGTCAACAACTATAATAATATCTACACCATTCTCAAACTTACAGAAGATGTGTCCATTGTTTCCGAATTGGAAAGTAAAATAGAACTTATGGTACATAACCTTTTAGTGTTCAACAGTTATATTTTTTTATTATTTAAATACATAACGTTTAATTTATTTCCATCTTATTTTCTAGAGTATTCAATCCGTCTCCTTAAATCAAGTGCCTTTGAAATCAGATGATGTTGTACAGCCTATTCAAAAGGTTTTTCAATTCCCATATTAACTTTTATTTATATTTAATTGTTCCAATTAACAACTTATGTTTTTTTTTTTAAATTTAGGATGTGATCTCACAAATGGATGAGAGTTTTACACCCTCAACAATTGATAAATCAACCGCAACGAGTCCTATCAAAATATCAACTGATTTGAAGCGCAACCTCCAAGACATTTGTGAGGTTGATTCCGGAGATGATTTGAGTTCTACCGAGTCTAAAAGAAAATCAATCGGAGAGGAAACTCCACTCTTAATTCCAAAAGTGGAGAAGTGAGTTGGTTTTGGTTATAACAGACATTTAATAATTTTTTATGTTGCTTTGGTTTTAAAGATATTTTGATTGTTTGGTATGATTTTTATTTTTGGATCATTTTTAGATGTACTTTAAAATTCAATCATTTTTAGATGGTGTGGTTGTATTTGTTTGAAAATGACATATCATATTTTCAAAATTATATTTATTTGCAGATTATATTTCAGATTTTGATTTTTCATTCTGTACATTAGGTGATTGTATTTTTACAATCATTTTATTTATGCTAAAAATGATGGACATTGACCATTTTACTATGTATTATTGTTAATATTTATGTTTTTTTAGATTTGACAATGAAGTAGTAAATTACATTTCAAACACTGTTTATAGTTTTTTTACAAATCGAAGCCCTGTAGAAAATAAGATGATAAAAAAATTAACTTTTTGTGAATTCAGCTCATAAAATCAGTTTTAGTATATTTGAAATACTATGTCAAAAGATCCTAGGATGAACATCACTAAAATCAGTTTTAGTATATTTTGAAATGCATGTGTTTATTCGTTATACTTATCATTTTATTCATGCTATTTGTCATTTTTGACATAGATATCAATGCAAATATTATAGGTTAAAGTATATTAAGTTGTATCTTTAAAAATTGCATTTGTACACTATAAAAAAATTTATTTAAAATAAAATATTTCTATATCTTTAAAATTTGACCAATTTTGTATACTATGAAATTACATAATTTTGTATAGTAAAAATTCCATTCAGTCGGTGCTTCTTCCAAAAAAAAATGGAATTTCAAATTTGATGTCATTGTGAAACAAAAACAGATTATATTATTAAAATTTAAAAGATTTTATCCTTAAATTTTATTTTTATTTTTTATTTATTTTACGTTATTATAAGAATAATCCAATATTTCTTTCTTATTTGGTTTTTTGGAAATCCAAATCCAGATTACCCATTATATAAGCAATGAGTTTATTCTAGAAACATAAAATGAAAACAATAAATAAAATATAAAGAAAAACTTATAATGAAGACCTACGATATTCAAATCGAAAATAACCTTCAATTTTGGAAATGATTTAATTCCTGAATTCTTACAATTTGGTTGATGATTTTACGGATACTATGCTTAATCATAATCAGTTTAAAAGCAAATCAATTCAAATTTCAAAATTATATTTATCTGTTCAGATTTGGGATTTATGCATATAAAACATTCCTTATCTTCAGCCTTTTTAAAAATAATATTTTATTCGATTCCGTTAATTAAGGGATTAACATTCCAAATATCTTTTCAAAATACTACTATTATCCATCTAATATCTTACTTCTTTTCGGCATTTTTAAAAATATCGACATGTTAATGAAGTAAATCCCAAAAAATCTGTTGTAAATAAATGCATACCGATATATATACAACTATATGATCTATAGTGCTTTCGTATCCACGATTCTGCTTCTCATACTACTTTGCAAAAGTTAATCTTCTGCAAAAGTTAATTTTCTAATAATCTCGCCATATAATTGACTACTACATTCATTCACTGTTTCCTACACCTCTCTGTATCCAATCTTAGATTATTCATTTCAAATCCGTTTAACTCGATCGTTTTCATTCGATCGTTGTTAAGAAGATTTAAGGTTAGTTTTCTTTAATCTGTAATCTATCCTCCTATACGACTTCTCTATCTCTCTTTTTTTTATAACATCTTTTGGGTTTTCATTCAATCGCTATTAAGAAGGTTTAAGGTTAGTTTTCTTTAATCTGTAATCTATCATCCTATACGACTTCTCTATATCTCTTTTTTTTTATGACATCTTTTTGGTGTTTTTTACTCTGCATTGTCCTGTTTCTTCTCTTTATTAAATTGGATGCATATTGGATTTACTTTTTCATATGTCTATTTAACATATGGATGAAAGGTACTGTTTCATGTATTCATCTTCCTCTTTCATCCATTGAGGAATGTTCCCTCTAATGGTTAAAAAAATAGAAGTACATATATTTAAAAATTTAAATTTCTAAATGTCTTTTTTAATTATTTAATATATAGATTAACTGACCTCTCTTTGAGGTGGCTCACCACTGAAAAAGGCCATGGCAACTTCAGTAAGTGAGATAGTAATTAAGTCTCCAAGAAGACCTATTCCAGACCACGAAAGCCATCCTTTTATAAAATCAATAGGATTCCTCCAATCCGGAAAATTAATTTTATGAAATATCAATAACTTTGTAACAAAAAAAAACAGTCTGCTTTGAGTTATGAGTTATGACTTATGACTGATAAAGTGATAATTAATTAATTACCATACCTATACAAGTCTTTTTGTCCACTTCTGTTGGTGACGTTATACAGTGTTGCAAGTAAAACAGCTATTCTGAAGGTGAAAAACATAAAGAAACAAGACAAGTTAATCTATCAATAATAAGTTAATCCAACAATGTAATAGTAAAATAAAATTTTGAAGTCATACGCCTGCGTAAAAATAAGTATTTATGCCTTCTCATCAACACTTTATTCCCCAATTTGAATACCAAGATATGGAAGAGTTGCAGTCTCTGCAAGCCCTGACAAAACAAAACTTCATAAAGAAATACAATCAAATCATGTAAAATCTACTCAAATGGTAGAAGATCATATAATATACAATTTTACACTCAAAACCTTCCCTCACACTAAAAAATCTGCATAAGATATTGTCAAAGGTATTGCTTCAATTATCAATACAGTATAAACACATATTAGAAACACAAATAATCAGCCATATTAGGAGAAATCCTTCACCTTTATTCAACCAAACCAAACAGCCAAACTATCTCTCCTGTGTCTTTTGTTTTTCTGCTTCTTTCGTTTTTCTGCTTCGTGAACCAGCAAGCAACACCCCACAAGTTATTTTTTTTTTTTTGTAAATTTGAGGAGGCAGCATCCCCTTTGCTCTTGATCGAAGCAAGCCAACACCGTCGTAGATGGTTGTTCCCGGTGAGCAATAGAGGCACACCCTCTTTCTCCGTCACTTTCAGTCGATAAAACCTCCACCGGAGGTGGAGATTTCCAGCCAAACCACGAGGCAACATTTCTTCTCCTAAGCACCACAGTAACAGGAGTAGAAGAAGAACAACGTCACTGCTTCGTCCTTACCCCTTCGGTTTACTACTGCCGACAAAGAGAGCAACCACAAGGAGGTCGCGGTATTTCGACTTCTCCCTATTTGTGATAGATTAACACCAACGACTCACTTCCTACCTTCAATCGTATTTCTTCTTCTCGGACCAACTGACGACCGAAGACCTTTTCTGTGGAAGTGTCTCTCAACGCCCACCTTCCACCAATCCTCCTTCGCATCTTACTGCAACAGCAGAAAAGAAGTAAGCTCGTTGCTTCTTCCCTTTTCTGCGGACCATTCGAAGATCGGTGGTGGTCACCTCCTCAAAGCTTCACCCACCAACAATCGACAACACCTTCCTGCTTCGTTCTTCTTCTTCCTTCGGTCCAACGAAACCCCAGACATCCTCCCCTATTTCTTTTCCCCATCGAACGCCATCAGAGCCCTTTCTTCGATCGGTTGTTTATTTTTCTCAAATTGAAGAAAACGAAGACCTGAGCCCTTTTTCCCCAATTTCAATTCTTGGTCTAATCGACCAATTCAGCCCCTCCACTTTATGACTTTGACCAAAACAGTCCCCTATGGGAATTGTTGACAAAATAAACTCAAATCTCAAACATTGATTCTTTTAATCCATTTCAGCCCCTCCTTTGGAATTATATTACAAAATAATGTTTTACTTTGTTTTATATGTTTTCTAACAATATTATTTTTTACAACTTTAATTTTATGTCCTTTTACATGTGCTTTCAAATGTAAATGCTTGCTATTGAAATTATATTCCTTTTTTTAAATCTAATATTATGGTTAATGGAATATAAATGGGATTTTTACATATTTGTTAATTATAATCTTTATATGATGTAATAACAATATTTCAATAATACATTTACTTTTATATATCACTATTTTCAACATATTTCATTATCAACTTTTAAACATAACTTACACATACTTAAACATTAATTTTTTTTTATTATTTAATATGTATTCTTTTTAAAATATTATATTAATTGTATAAAAAATAAGAACATCGATATATGTAAACTAATGTGCCATATTATAAAGTTTAATAAAAATATTGCAATTACATCTCACATACTACCAAATTGTAGGTTTATATGTTATTTGTTTGTAATTTATTCATAATTTTTCAATATGTCAAAAAAATTAATTTCTACCCCTTTGTTCAACATGTAAATATTATATATGAATTACTTATTGTGTACTGTTATACATGTTATTTTATTAACTAAATCGAGTGATCTGTTAACGTTGTAGACATACAATGCATTCAATTTCTTCTAAAAAGACTAGAAAATTAAATAGTTTCCTCTTAGATAATAATACAAATTATATTAAATTGGATACTACATCAACACATCTATCTGCAACAACTAAAACTGTTGTTACTTCAACAAATTTTTCGTCCGCTGCAAATAAATATTGCTCGACACCGGTTACCGATGCTTACAAAGGTACATTTATTTCTTCAATTTTATTATAAAAAAACACGCTTCTTACCTCCTTATACATTTTATAGCCTATCATATTATCGTTTTTGCAGAAAACAACAATAACATGTACCACTTTCAAGCCAGAGAGAACAGAAGACAAAGAAAATTATATTTGCAAAATAAAAGATCGAAGAAATTAAATCCAAGATCCAACGTTCGAAGTACATCAATACCGCATATCTTAAAAAACATCGATAACTGTGAATTTTTATTTTATATTCCATGTTTTATTATTACTTTACATTTATACACAATACATGATTAGTTAAATTTTTTATTAGCCTGCATTAGTAAATTATTTTACCTCATTACTTTATTTTTTATGATATGTCTTTAATTTTCAAAACTTTTTCTTACTTACAGATCAATCAACCAGTGTTGTTTGTCAAAATGAAAATGTTAATTAATTTAATACGCCAGTAATCCAAAATACAACTGTACAATATTCTCCTTCATTTCCAAATGTTAGAACTCCGTTATCTAACATTACAAATGTTAGAACTCCGTTATCTTACATTACAAATTGTAATAATTTTTTTTGAAACTACTATTATTCAATTTGTGTATAATCTGGATATATATACTGACTTTATTTATTTTGGTCAGATAACAGTAGTTTCGATAAATACGCCACTACCAACCTATCAAAGAAAAGACAGTACTATGCACTTTCAAATGATATGACATCGAAAAATGTATCTACAATAACTGGTTCATCAACAACGAAGTTTAATCCAGGATGTCATAAATTAAAAATGAAGTCGAAACAATTATCCCCTGTCCCATTGATTGATTTGACAAAAGATGTAGAAAATATACATCAACTCATATATGAAAACCTAATAGTTGGTATCTCAAAAGGTAATAAAATAATAATATCCATTTTCATTTTTTTACAATTCAAATATTGTATTTTATATACTTATAAAATTAACTGATAATTATTCTACGCCTTTTATTTTATAGAATATTTGGATCATGGTGATCAGGATATTGTATGTCAAACATGTCATGCAAAGTTATGGAGAAATGAATCCATTAAAGGTAAAGAAAAAGGAAACACAGATTATTCGTTATGTTGTGGTTATGGCAAAGTTCAACTTCCAGATTTAAAGAAAGCACCTCCAAGTTATGAAAGAATGTTTCGAGCAATAGATTCTAAAAGTAAACACTTCATGAAAAACATTCGACGTTACAATTCAATGTTTTCTTTTACGTCGATGGGTGGTAGAATTGATTTTTCAATCAATAGAGGAAATGCTCCATACATTTTCAGACTGCGTGGTCAAAATTATCATAGTATTGGAAGCCTTTTACCAGCAAAAGGAACGGAACCAAAATTCTCTCAGTTATACATTTATGATACTGAGAACGAAATTTCAAATAGACAAAAATGCTTTGGGTATTTTCTCAATCTTAATATTCATTATTAATTAAAATATTTTTATTTTTTTTAATAATATTATCGAAAAATTCAATTTCTTTAATATGGAAAAGGATCGATCAACTTCAATTGATAGTGATATTATTGAAGATATTAAGCAGATTTTGGATTCAAATAATGTCTTGGTTAGATCTTATAGAATGGTAAGAGATACTTTTCTGAAAAATCCAGAAGTTGATATGAAATTACGACTTATCGGGAGAAGGGAGCGAGATGGAAGAAGATATAACTACCAACTACTTCTGAGGTTGCCTCTTTAATTGTTGGTGACATTTATGATTCAATTGAAAAGAGGGATATTGTCGTTCAAACAAAAACTGGTTCTCTACAACGTATCAGTGAATTGCATCCTTCGTACCTTCCTCTCCAATATCCACTGCTATTTCCATATGGGGATGATGGTTACAGTGTTGACATTCTTCATAGAGGTGTGTCATTTACGACCAACAGCAAGCGGGCGAAATGTACAACGATAGAATATTTCGCTTATAGAATTCAAGACAGAGATCATTCGTTCTCTCTCATTCTTAATTCAAAAAGGTTGTTTCAACAGTTTCTGGTAGATGCCTATACGATGATGGAAACGGAGAGATTGTACTATATACGTAGGCAACAACATGTTCTTAGATCTGAGTCTTATGAGAATTTATGTAACCAAAAAGCTCAAGGAACTACTGATATCTCCAATGTCGGCCAACGTGTCATATTACCTTCGTCCTTTACTGCTGGAGCACGCTATATGCTGCAAAACTATTTGGATGCCATGTCACTATGTAAATGGTTTGGATATCCTGATTTCTTCATAACATTTACGTGTAATCCCAAATGGCCAGAGATTAAAAGGTTTCTTAAGGATACTTCACTTCAACCAGAAGACAGGCCTGATATACTATGTAGGTTGTTCAAGATCAAGCTTGATGCATTCATTAAAGACTTAAGGGAGAATCACATTTTCGGCAAAGTTCAAGCATGTAATTAAAACTATATTTTTTCTTTATTTATAAAACATTACTCTTATTATTTTATTTTTTATATGTTTTTAAAATCTAATCATATTTTTTTTTTTGGCAAATTCTTTTACAGATGTTTATACCATTGAATTTCAAAAGAGAGGTTTGCCGCATAGTCATATATGTCTATTTATGCATTCCGACAATAAACTACCAACTGTTGAATTTATCGATCCGATAATTTCCGTCGAGATACCAGACATAATTGAAGATCCTGAATTGTATTCACTTGTGAATGAGTTTATGATTCATGGTCCATGTGGAACTGAAAATATGAATTGTCCATGCATGGTGGATAAAAAGTGCTCTAAAAGCTTTCCAAAACAATTCTATAATCATTCGTCTGCTGATCAAAATGGTTTTCCGTTATATAGGCGAAGAAACGATGGTCATTTTGTAGAAAAATCGGGTGTCAAGTTGGATAATAGAAATGTTGTTCCATACAACAAATATCTATTGAAAAGATATCAGGAACATATTAATATTGAATGGTGCAATCAGGGATCTTCAATAAAGTATTTGTTTAAATACATAAATAAGGGTCCTGATAGAGCTACAGTTGTTGTTGTACCAGCCAACAATGAATGTGAAAATAACGATGTGGTCGATGAAATAGCTGAATATTACGATTGTAGATATTTATCAGCATGTGAAGCATCATGGCAAATTTTTAAATATGATGTTCATTGCAGATATCCTTCTGTGGTCAGACTACCTTTTCATCTTCCTAATCAACAACAGATTGTATATGGCAAAGACGATGATATTGACGATGTTCTGGACAAACCTTTTGTTGCTGCTTCAAAGTTCACATCTTGGATGGAATGTAATGCAATCGATAGTGAAGCACGAAAACTTACATATGCTGAATTTCCTACAAAGTTTGTTTGGATATTAAATGGTCGGTTTTGGAAGAGAAGGAAAGTAGGAAAAGCCATTGGTAGAATTCATTCGGTTTCACCTAATCCAGGTGAAACATATTTCTTAAGGATTCTTTTAAATAAAGTAAAAGGTCTGACGTCATTTGATGATATCCGCACGGTAAATGGTGAAACGCATTCTTCTTTTAGAGATGCTTGTTATGCACTCGGGCTATTAGATGATGACAAGGAATACATGGATGCAATTAAAGAAGAAAGTCACTATGGATCTGGTTTCTATCTACGCTTCTTATTTTCTACATTGTTGATGTGCTCTAAAAGCTTTCTAAACCAGATGTCGTTTGGGAAAATACATGAGAATATTTGGCAGATGAAATTCTATATAACCAAAGACAAAGATTTAAGTCTGCAGGTATTACATTTTTTTTTTCTTATTTTTTATTTAAAATATTTTCTTTTTATTATTCAACACCCATTAAATAATTAGTAATAAAATTATTAAATATCGACCACATATTTTCTAAATAATTATATATTTTGGTGCAGAATTATCACTCGGTGTAGATGAACTTAAGAACTTAACTTTGTTCGAAATAGAACAAATTTTACTTCGAAACAACTCCACTCTCAAAAACTTCACAAAGATGCCATACCCAGATGTTGAATCTGTTTCTTCTTCAAACAATCGACTTATCACCGAGGAGCTAGATTACGACATTCCCGTTATAAAGAATGACTTTGATCGTATGTTTCTTGCATTAACAAATGAGCAACGTAACATTTTCCTTAACATCATGAGTGTTGTTAAAGAAAATAAAGGAGGTGACTTCTTCGTTTATGGTTATGGTGGAACGGGTAAAACTTTTTTATGGAAGACAATATCTGCAGCAATTAGATCTGATGGTAATATTGTTTTAAATGTTGCTTCAAGCGGTATTGCTTCCTTATTATTGCCCGGTGGTAGAACAGCACACTCACGATTTATACTTCCATTTGAACTTACAGAGGATTCTTTTTGTAAAATAAATCCAGATGGTGAGTTGGCTAGCTTAATAAGAAAAACCTCTTTAATAATTTGGGATGAAGCACCTATGGTCCATAAGCATGCATTTGAAGCTTTAGATCGAACTTTGAAAGATGTATTAAGGTGTGGAAATTCAAGCATATCAAATATTCCATTTGGAGGGAAAGTTATTGTCTTTGGAGGAGATTTCAGACAGATTCTACCTGTTGTTCCGGGTGGCAGTAGACAGAACATTGTAAATGCTTCTTTGAGTTCTTCATATTTATGGCAACATTGCAAAGTCCATAGATTAACAAAAAAACATGAGGCTAACTGTTGCAAAGGATCAATCGGATATAGAAAAAATAAGAGATTTTGTAAATTGGCTATTGGATATAGGAGAAGGCAAACTTGGTGGTCCGAACGACGGTGAAACGATTATCGATATTCCGGATGATATTCTCATTAATGGTTCACATGATCCTATAGGTTCCTTAATTGAGTTTGTATATCCTTCAATTTTGGAGAACTATAGCAATACAAATTATTTCCAAGAAAGAGCGATACTTGCTCCAGATAATGAAGTTGTTCAGGAAATAAACGACCGTTTGCTTAAGAAGTTTCCAGGAGATGAGGTTGAATATTTAAGTTCAGACAGCATATGTGAATCCGAATTTGTCCATGATCAGTTTGATGCAAATTTATACTCCCCTGATGTATTAAATGGTCTCAAAGTATCCGGTCTACCAAATCATAAGTTAGTTTTAAAAATTGGTGTTCCGGTAATGTTACTGACAAATATTGATCAGAAAAACGGATTATGTAATGGCACAAGACTACAGTTGATATCATTGGGCAAACGTGTTATTGAGGCACGTAGAATAACCAGAACTAATATTGGAAACCGGACCTCCATCAGAAAAAAATTCCCTTCAAATTCACAAGAAGACAGTTTCCTTTGGTCGTATGTTTTGCGATGATTATTAATAAAAGTCAAGGACAGTCGTTATCAAAGGTTGGTTTGTTTCTTAAAGATCCAGTTTTTTCACATGGACAATTATATGTTGCCTTATCTAGAGTTCAAAGCAGAGAGGGATTAAAATTATTAATTTTAGATAAAGATGACAGACTCACAAATAAAACTTCCAATGTTGTTTATAAGGAAGTTTTTCGAAATATATAGCCAACTTTTTTATAGCACCTTTTAGTCATTTTTAGCAAATCACACTTAATCCATCATATTACTTTATTTATTTATAATTACGTATTGTATTTTTTTATGTTAATTTCATTACACACATTGGTAATGCATCATCTGCGTATGTTCAACGAGAATCATACACCAAAAATAAAAGTTTTAAAAATCTTCAATTCTAATTAAATACTTACCATTTACTGTGTAATTAAATACTTATAAATCATAAAGTTATTGAAAAATGCAATATTACAATTCATAAGTTTTCTAAATTAATGAAATATTATTTTATTATATAATTAATTTTTAAATTCAACTAAAAATCAACACCCGTGGATTCCACGGGTTTTAACCTAGTTTCTTTAATAAATAAACAAAATATTTGCATCTGACTTTTTTTTTTTGAGAAATGAATAATTCGTTAGTTTGATTGACGCAATTATGAATTAGATTAATTTTGATATATCTTAGTCAAGTGAATGACTTACCATATTTGAGCAAACTAAAAAAAATTCCTTTTAATTTTGTTTCAAGGTTATGATTCATTTTGCACCTCTTTATGAGTGTACACCAATCTTATTGTCTCATTTGTGTGAAAAATGCTTGTTTCACTTGGTTAAACCCCATGTATCAATTGCCGATGGTGGAGTTTTAATGATTCTTGCGAAATCTAATTTTTCCAACTTCATTGGTTTGGATTGTGTGCCAACAAGCCATTCATATTATATTGTTGGATTAACAAATGAAATTAAGAAGCCATATTCCATCAACTTGAGAATTTGACATTGTACATTTCTATATTCCATCAAGTTGAAATTGTTCAGTGATGCAAAAATATTGATTTAAATTGTTAACTAACCCTATTGATTGAAATACCTATGCTATATAATTTAAATTGTCAACTGGTGCAAAAAAAAAAATAATAACAGGATTTTGATCAAAGAAAAGGGACTTCTCATCCTGACCATAAATTCATAGTGCCTCGACTGTGCATGAATAGAATGATACTTGAACATGAATCTCTTTCAAGAACAGCTTAATGGCTTACAAAAGGTTGTTCTTTATTGTAATTTGTATGCCTTCGTCCATATAGCAGAAAATGTCCCAAGGATGAAAACAAAGAAACACCTAGAAAATATATGGGTGGGTTATTTTACAAGAAAAAAAAATGAAAGGTTCATCAGAGGAAATCACCAAAAGTTCTAAACTTGGTGCCAATAACGTGTATAAGCACCCGACATGTTTGATTAAGACACTGCAAACGGAATGTCATGCATCTGAAATTAGCAAGGGGCTTCATCAGATTCCATCAAATGTACATACTAATTGCTGGAAAGTGAAAACCTTATATGTATCTGGGGATCATTTGCATGAGTGGGTAACCGATTTTGGTAGGAAACTGTAAAAAAGCCACAACAATCAAGGATCGTCAAAACGGTACATTTATATTTCATCAAACACATATAATTACAAGCCATAATGAATTAATCGAAATATACTCGGTAACAAGAGCAAAGAAAGAGATTCAACAAAAATTACAGGGAAAACACATGAATGACGAACTTGTATTAGAGACAGTAGAGAAAAGATTTACTTTTCTTTGGCGCCATATCAAATAAAAACTTCAAATAATAAAAGTTGTAGGGTATATAAGGAAACAATGGTAATTCTTCAATAGTAACCGATCATTGATTGATTTTCGTTGATTTAATTAACTTTCCTAATTGCTTCTGGTAGACACGTAAATCTATCTTTAATTTGTTTTCTTTTATAATTTGAACCGTTTATTGGTTCTCCATATTAATTAGTTTATACATAACGAACAGAGTAATTTATATCAAAATTAATGCTGCATTTTAGTATTTTTATCAATCCTTAAATTCATTTTGTAACATCTATAAATACCCAACATAGATCTTCTAAAACTCATATACATTTTTTGTTTTTACACCCTAATATTGATATCGATTAATCTATTTTGAATAACTATGAAGGCTTTTGGCTTTCTTGTTATTGTGATGGTAATTCTCACGCTGCTAGCGGGCAAAGTATATCCACAATCCAGGGTTTGCAACATGCTTGATATTCAAGATTGTTTTTTAGCATTAGATGACCCTGGTACGCCACCGACCAAAAAATGTTGTGATGAACTTAAACAACATAGAAAATGTTTTTGATTTTACAACCGACGCGGATTCACACTCGGTTTCGATTCTCTTATTGACGCTTGTCATATCGAGTTCCATGATGTTTGCCCCTTTGTATCTAAATAGTTTCTCCTTTGCTCAATAAAATTTGTCATTTACAAGGAAGTGGGATATGATTCTATTATATATTCGAAAGGTTTTGTGTTCATATATTCTCTTTAATTTTGTTTGGTTTTATAATATTCGTTCTTGTGGCCCTTAGTTTCTGCTTTTCGTATCATACTTGTATCTGCATGAATAATTACATGTGCACAAGCATTCACACAAACATTATCTTTTCTATTTAATAAAGATCAACAAGCAAAACCTAAAAACAACGTTTCGTGCGAGAAACACAATTTGAAGAAAAACGAACCTTGATGTCATTATATCTAATTAAAACTTTCTCTAAAACACATCTTTATCTTGAATAATCATTTTGACAACGTTTACATAACAAAAACATATATCTTTTTGGGAAAAAAATACAGTTTAAATTGAATTCAAAAGACTAAACAAATAATTCAAATAAAAAAACATTACATGTCTTTTCATATTAAAAATAAATAATTAAAGCAGCTGATTTTTTATTTGAAAATCATAACTGAATCTATCGGTAGTCTTAAAGGATTAAAAAACAATGAAACCTTCATGTCATAAGGTATAATTATGAGTTTATTGGTTTTAAACATTCAACATAGTAGATGCAATCCTCCTATCAGTTTCTGTTTCGATCATCTTTGTCGACAGACTGGCTCCATCGTTGTCAAACGCGCCATGGCTCTTAAATTCGATACTCACCAGTGATAGTGGCTATGTTAAGTGATGTCATCCTCCGATATGTTTCAATCAGTGAAGACCCGTTCATTTTTGTTTTCAGATTGAGCCCAACCATGTATAAGGAAAGCTTCCCCGCCGTACCGAAAACAAAATTGCAGCGACATGGGTGACGTTTTTACAGATCTTTATTATTTTGATAATAGAGTCGGAGTCGAGGATGACTTTGTAATGTGTACCCAACGAATCATTTCGTGGGATAATTGATTTTAGGTGTGGAAGTTTTGTGGTCGCCGGCCTGAGCACGACAGCAGCCCATGGCATAAAAAATGTCGAAGCGTAAATTCTCTGTGTCGTGCTACAGTCACCAAAGTGGTTGAAGACGGAGAGGCAAGAAACGAAAGGCGAGTATCAGAGTATGGTGTCGTAGTTCTTAACGTGTAGGAAAAGACAAAAAAGAAATAGTTAGATTTGTTTAAGGGAGGAAGTAGTACACAATCTTTATCTCCTTTTCTAAAATTCGCTCTTCCCTTTAGTGAGTTTATGGATGCCCTAAAGTCTTTGCATCTTCATCCTCCACAGCTCCATGCTCATGCCTAAAAACTAAACATGTCACCTTCGTTCATGAGCTACTGAAAGTTATCGGCTCTGTGGTGACTTGTGAGCAATCAGTTTACGTTAGTGGTAGAAACATTTTGGATGGTCCTTTGGTAGTTAATAAACTTATCTGTTGGGCCAATAAACGGAAGAAAAAAAATTCTCATGTTCAAGGTCGACTTTGACCTAGCTTTTAACTCAATTAGTTGGAGTTACTTGCAAAATGTTGTGAAGCATATGGGGTTCGACGATACGTGGTTAAGTTAGGTAAGGGCCATCCTTTCATCCTCTAAGATCTCAGTGCTCATTAATGGTTCCCCAACCAAAGAGTTCTTCATGGAAAAAGGAGTGAGACAAGGAGATTCCTCTCCCCTTTTCTTTTATTATTGCAACCGAGAGTCTCAAAGTAGCTTTAGATGAGGCTACTAACAAATGGATATATGAGGGGATTACAATTCCTAATTTTGGGCATAGTATTTCTCTTTTCCAATATGCATATGACACGATCTTCATGGGTAAATGGTTAAGCGACAACACTAAAAATCTTATGAGAATACTCACATGCTTCCATTTAGCGTCTGATCTCAAGGTCAATCTACACACGAGCAAGTTAATGGCTATTGGAGTTCCTTCAAGGGAAGTCTCGTCCATGGCTAAGTGGTTGAAGTGCCTTAAAAGTGAGCTTCCATTCTCCTATATTGGTATGATATGCTGGTAGGAGGAAGGTCGGGTGGAGCTTCCATGTGGCTTCCTCTTATCGATAAGTTCAATAAAAACTATCGATGTGGAAAGCTAGAACTCTTTCAATTGGAGGGCGTTTAGCGCTTGTTAAGTTTGTGCTTGGAAGCCTTGGAATGTACATTTTATCGATCTATAGTGTCCTAGAAAAATCATAACAAAGCTTGAAAGGATCAGAAACGTGTTCCTTTTGGGAAATTCTACAGTTCACAAAGAAAATCACATGGATAGCTTGGAACAAAACGATAAACTCCAAAGAACTTGGTAGTTTGCAAATTGGGAACTGAAAAGCTTTCAATCTTGCTCTTATCTTGAAATGGTGGTGGAGGTTTAGGAATCATACTAACACAAATTGGAAAAGCGTTATTAGGTGCATTTATGGTGATCGTGGGGGGTTCGGATTGTCAACTTTAGTGTCTTATAGGACGACCGTATGGGCAGAATCAATAATGCCAACATCGATCTAGAACATCTTAACATCTACTTAAATGAATTCTTTTACAGAACCGGTGATACAGGGGGTAACTCATTCCCATGAAATTTGTGTTGGAGTATCAGTGAAGGAGGAGAGTTTACTATATCTTCCCTAAGGAAGGAAATTGACAATAACTTCTTGGATTGCACACACTTGCCTACTATCTAGTCTAAGTTAGTTCCCAAGAACATAAACGTCTTCATTTGTAGATCAGGACTTAGGAGACATTCCACTAGATCGAATCTAGCACGGAGGTGGTGAATATTTCACACATCTCATTTATGTTGTGCAATGCTTTTGAGGAGACGGAAGAACATCTTTTCAAGGATTGCTCCATAACAGAGGAATTAAAAGGGCAAATGCTCACTTAGTGGAAAGACTTACTTGCCATTAATAACTCATTAGAAGACGTGTTGGGGGTGAATTTTAACTACACTAGGGGCAACAAGAGACAAGAAATTTTGGAGGCGATTTTAAGGGCATTCTTATGGACCATCTGGATGAATAGGAACGAAATTATATTCAATAACAAAGTGGAGGGATCGATTATACTAGCTTATGATGCCAAGGCTTTGGCCTTTTATGATTAAGAATAGAGCTAATGTAGCATCCCATTTTCACAAACAAAATTTTCATTTTTAATTTAGGTAAAACCACCAGTTCCATAAAACTCATGTTAAGAAAACCCCATTTGTTCCATGATACACTAGTTTGAAAATCAGAGTAATATAGTAAATGTGTAATCTCCAAAACTGATGATGAGTGTGTTGGATTAAGGTGTCTAAGCCAGTGAATAACAACTAAACTGGTATATTCTTGTAATTAGAAGCGAATTCCATTTCGGGTTGCCCTCATGACCAAAAATGGCTACAAATGATTTTAGGAGAGAGAAGTATAATTTATTATATTATTATATGATTAATAAACTAATTGGAAGTTATACGGAAATGATTTGTTAATATATTATGCGATTAATATATTAATTGGAGATACACAGTTGACCTGTTGATTTATTATGTGATTAATAAATTAATATAAGATCAATTGTTATATAAATGTTTTGTTAATTTATATTATTAATAAATTAATCCCAATGAGTGTTTCGTGGAGATGACATAAATTGACTTATGACACTCACCAGAAAAGGAATGTCAGGTAGTTTAATTTTCCTACAATTCTTCTGTATTTCTCTGGTTTCTCAAGTGGATCTCTTTCATCTACTTTCAATTTCATATTTAGAACCATTGGAGACTCGTAAGGTTTTGTTTCAATCATCCCAGAATCCTTCAAAATATCCGAGCAATATTTCCGCTGAGACAAACAGATCCCTTTTCGAGTACGAGAGACTTCAATTCCTAAAAAATATTTTAAAGGACCTAGGTCTTTTGTTTGAACGATGCAAGGAAATCTTTCAGCTTCTTAACTCCAGTTCCATCACTCCTAGTACTCACAATCTCATCAACATATACCACTAATAGAATACATCCTGAAGACGATGAAGCAAAGAACACAGAATGATCATAACAAGTGAATATGGATGAAACATAGCAACCAAACATCACACATTAAAGATACCAACATATATTGTTTACAAATTGTACTTGTTCATCGATTACCCAAAATTAATATAAAGTATGATGCCTAAAAAGAAAAGTAGTAAGATATCCAGATCCAAGGCTCGAGTACCTGTTCACTGAGTCCCTGAGAATACAAGTTGTTTTGAAAAGCGTCAACATAGAATGTTGGTGAGTTCATAAGCATATTTGTAGGAAAAACTTTGTAATATCTTTGGTTATAATAAGTTGTAAAACTCCAGAAAATCCAATATTTTCTATAAAAAGTAGTTTGTGAGTCTCGTTCCAAAATTGCGTATAGTTGCATGCATGTTCTTTATTTTCCTTTGTTTGTATTATAAAGAGTGTATTCCCACAATATCCTATATTTTCTGTATATAAAAGAGTTGTGGTCTTAAAACCCTAAGACCAGAGTGGTGAGATTAGCTTGCTTACAAAGTAATCAAACATAGCTTTGTGTTTTATAAAACTAGTAGAGTGTATATTCTTCGTAAATCCAAATTAATATAGTCCTTCTCTATGTTAGTCGTTACAACCATACTAATAGGACTAAAGCGCATGTATTGACGTTCTTTAGGCGTCGGTTTCTAAAGATATTTGTCACCCTAGATTGGCCCATCTAGCTGTAGCGAAAAACTCAGGTGTGGGGGTGTCAACCCCATATAGATCTATACACAATTACCTCGCTCTCCCTTCAGGAGACTCTGGATATAACTACACGACTTACGATGTACGCTAGGTAGGTACGGCGAAGGAGAGTCTCACAAGAGCGTTAACAGATTTACGTGAACTATGACTCCGTTTTACTTGCAAAATAGGATAATTATGCCTTTAAATAACTATATGTACCTTTGTAAGTGTGGTTTGTGACCTTCAACTATACCAATTATAGTTTATTATGCTTGTTTGTCAAGACAATTTATATAATCGTACATATAAATACATATAAGTTAACATGTCTAGATGTTTTAAAAGTATATATAAATCATATAAACTTTTATCTAACACAAGTATAAGAGCTTTTAGCATGATAAAGACAATTTCTTGTTTTTTACTTTTCTGTCCCTGTTTTTAGAAAAATTATAGAAAAATCATCGTAAGTCGAAATTCGGATCCATAAACTCTGAGAGTTTGTAAAATGAGTCTACTTTGTTAATCATTTTTATTATAATTTTTAATGGCCTCAAACCAGTGTGAAAATGTTCATCTTCACAGACTGGTCCGAAATCATTCCTCAAATGATAGGCAGTTTTGTAAAAAATGCCAAAAATTGTAGAAAATCGTATGAATGCGTGCGAGTAGTCCTTAGAAAGTTATAAGCCTGAACTATTTTCATCTTAAACAGTTTTGAAAAATATTAAGTTCAAGGTGGTCAAAACATCCCGTAAATGGACCATAACTTTTTTGTTGAAAGTTGAGGTTTAAGTTTAAGTTATCTATGTTTGAAACCAAGACTCATTTTTGCTATTTTTGAGGGTATAACCCTTATCTATGATTTTTTATGCAATATATATGTTAACAAACACATTTCTAATGATTTTTATGAATTTGTATAAGATAAACTCCATGTTCATGCAAATACTGAAAGATTAAACACATTACACACCGGTACATGCAATTATCCATTAGTTAAACGAGATTTGACTTGTATTCCTCCCCCCCCCCCCCAAATAGTATGAAAAACATGAAAAATAGTGGGGTATGAAGCTCACCTTAAGGGTTTTCGAGATGTAGATGAAGAAGAAGAAGAAACTTTGATCCTAGCTTGAGTTCTTGGTGAGATTCTTGAAATGTGGGTGTTCTAATGGTTCATATTCACGAAAATGAGAGTGTAAGAGGAAAGATCTTAGTGTAACTCGAAACAAAACAATGGGGTTTAACCTAGAACTTACCAAGTTTATGACCCTTTGAAGAAGACTTCTTGAAGCTAACACATGCATACCCACCCACGAAATCTTTGGGAGGAAGGAAGAGGAGAGACTTCTTGAGTGTTTGAGAGAAAATGAAGGAGGATTCTTGAGGCTAAGTGAGGAAATGAGAGTGCTTTGTGTGTGTGAGGG